GAAGGCGCTCGGGGCGAAAAAGCGACGGGGCGAAAAAGCGCTCGAAGAAACGGCGGTTTAGTCTTGTTGAGGGAGTTGGAGGGGCCTGGGGGAGTGAATATGTACTTGAGCGCATGGCGATAGCAATTGTGGACGGGTGTTGCACGTGGTGAAGGTGATGCCACCGCCGTAGGCTCATCGGCAGCCCCTCTTCGGCATGTTGCTTGCTGGCTTGAGCATGCTTGGATTGATGACGTTTTGACGCATGGTATTTATGCGTCCTTTGGTTTTGGTGTGTCGTGTGTTATTTCGCCATATTCGCCCAAGGTCAAATGTCGCGGACTTGTCGCACAAGCATTGAGAAGTTCTACGTTACTTCTAGCTTGAGGGGGGCGGGTGTTCCCAAGCACTGTACTCCTCAGATAGAAGTTAGCAGCTCATCACAGCCATTTATACGAAGTAACAATCTTCTTCCGGCGCCGAATGTACACACCATTAGCTATCTTAAACCTATCAAACAACTACCCGGTAACAAGATCCTTGTGTACTTCTGCGTGCCGTTAACACCAGCACACGCAAGCACACGCAATGAAGAGGGAGAAAGCCAACAAAGCCTCCACAAAAATGTACCATGAAAAAAACAAAACTATTTTCGTGCCCCTCCTGGGGGGGCGGGGGGGGGGGGGGGGGGGGGNCCGCAAGTCTATACAGCTAGGGTGCGGTGCGTGGTACTGTGATGACTCTGGTGACAGCAGCTGGGCGTAGCACGCATGCAAGGGAATACACTTGAACATTGCACAATGCCGGCGCGATGGATTCTGTCAGCTGCGTGCGAAAGGGTGAGTAACATTAGACGTAAATGCAAACCCTATTGACTCACCAAATCGACAACGTCGGGTTTGTCCTTGTCCGTCATGGACACACTCCTCACGGAGGCAGGTTTTGATTCGTCAGTCGAGCCTGTGTCTCCTTCCTTGCCCCCGCTGTCGACAACGCTGCTGTGTGACTCTCCTCGCTTGTCCCCACGGTCGGGTAGCATCGTGCTGCTGTGCAAGGCAGCTGCTACCTGGCGGCGGTGCTGCGTAGGTCTTGCGTGCAGGAGTGCCACCGAGCTGTGGGAGCGAGCAAATTGTGTCGGGGAAGGGCAAGGCAAGTAGAGGAATCGTTGATAACGACGTTCTTGCAGGTATTGCTATGCTCATGTTCCTTTTGTAGGTGGGGTCTATCACAAAGATGACGGGGCGTGGAAGGAGAAGGGACCGCCCGGAACTCTGTTTCCGAATGCGGAAGATACCTCACACACACGCAACACACACCCTATCTTTACTTGAAGCTCGGAAGCCCTCGGTAAAGTATGGATCTACGATTGCATCGGATCCGTGTACAATCATCTCTCCTACAATCGTATACGCCTTGCGTGTGGCAAGTCGAAGGGTGGGGGTCAGAACCAGACATTAAGCAGTCCGCGAGTGTGTGGAGGGTGAATATCTCGCGTCACACATCGATGGTTGTCTCGCACATGATCTTCTCTTAACATCGGGCGCAGAATTACGAATTCTTCGGAAAGATCATGCATTGACTGGGCATGAATTCGCCTGGAGGTAGAGTCTCCCGTTACTCATCAATGTATGGATAATCCATGCTGTAGGCTGCGCGAATTCTGCCGCATCACCGCAGAACGAAGCGAGAGCACCGCATCTCAACCCTGCGTTTGTGCATGCTTTGCTGAACTGCGGAACTCACCAACTCGGGTCTAGCAGACCCCCACGAAGCTGGCATGGTCTCTTTAGCGCTACGCGCAGTGCACGTGACGTAGCGGCTAGCGCCATCGCAAGCAAATCGTGTGTGTGCGGGTTGGCTTGTTGACAAAGGAGGACACCCTCGCGCGGGACTGTCAGTACCTTCCCCACGAGCAAACATCCGCCAGGGGTACAGACTCCCAATTACACCGCGTTTCACACAGCACACAGCAGTAGTGTGTCTGCCAGAGTCTGCTGTCCGTTGCTGCTATCTGCTCTCAATTCGTATCGCTCGACGCACGCGTACACCTTTGCGCAAAGTACTTAATCTCGACAGTTTTCTCGATTTCCTTCCTCTCAGCGCACGCAAAATTTGCTGTGCGCGACTGCATGGTACCCGCTTGCTCCCGCGGCGCACTGGCCGCTCGCTGCGGCGACGGCATGCTGACGAGGCTGCCGAGGTTGCCGAGGCTGCCTGGAGCACTACATGCGTGCTTCACGTCTTCAGGTCGGGCTCAAACATTTCCGATTGGCCAGGGCGGGCGTCTTGTTATAGACATGGCCAAGGCGGCAGCGGTGGTCAAGGTCACCACACAGTGGATAGACTCCTGCAGCGTTGAAGTCTCGCGCCTCCCTGCTGGTTCTGATGGTCGCAGCTTGGCGGGAGCGGGGGGCAAGGAAGTTCTAAGCAACCTGGATGCTGCAGGCCTTTCGTTACACGCGGACGAGGCCCAAGCCCAGGTCACGCTTACCCATGATAAAGAACACCCGAGCGTGGAAGATACGTATCTCATCGACGCGGTGGTCCCTGAGCTTTTTTCTGTGGAATTGTATGCCTCGCATGGCAACGTTTCCGTGTCCAAGAAGATCAAGGGCGACTGCAAAGTCCGGCTCGACAGGGGGGACATCAACGTCGGTATTGTTCGCGGGGAGACCATTCGGCTATCGACGGGCCGTGGGCATGTCAAGGTCGACGAGCTGGAGGGAAACGTGGATATTACCGCCACATCGAACGTGAGTCTCCACCCAAACAATGTTGAGCGGCATGTTCAGCAGCAAAAGCACAACGTAGGTTGTGGCGAACTCTACATAGTTTCGACTTTAGCGGTTTCTCTGCGCGTTTGAAATCGCCTAAAGCCCCGAACGCGCTGCATGCTGCTGGAGAGTAAGCAGCTCGAGTTCAACTTTTGATGTTCGCCGCAACACTCTTGAACAACTGTCTCATTTCAAAGATGTGGTCCTGTTGCAGCACCGGCCGTACTTTCAGCCATCTGTGCGCAGCCGATGTCACTCCCAGACTTGGAACTCTTAACAACACTTGCTGCCCAAAACCAATGAGTTCATTACCCTTACTCTTTTTCGCAGTCCTGGTGATCGCCACAGAACAAAGATGAGAGCGCAGCCTTGGTAGGTGTATGGTGGTATTGTTGTAAGGCAGCCCCACAACGACGAACTGCAGCAGGCGAGGGAGTTTGACTGCTTCTCTTGCGGTCTCGAAAATCTGCAAGGCAATCCCGTACCCCCCTTAGAACACACGCATACTGCACGACACTGTTGATAGTCCCGTTCCTGTGAGACCGAGCAATCAATTTTATATCCGTCCACGGAGAGGTTGTTTTCCGGTTGCGACCTTGCATATGCAGTTGGCACTCTGTCCGTGTAAGTCCAAGTGTGCTATGTTTCGTCTGTTACTGAGTCCAGTGCTTACTCCGCCTACAACCAGTTTCGTGGAGTGTTTGTCTTCCACATTCTTGCCTGTCAATCGCTATCCCAATGTGCCGGCTCAAGACCCCGAATGGACGCGGTCGTTGTCTGTCCGAAGGTTCTTGCAAGACTCATCAATGGAGCTAAGGTGAAAATTAACACGACAGGCCACGACGACCCATCAGTCAACGTGGGCGCGTTGTACTCGTCCGGCGCGCACATCACTTCAGCAGGGAACGTAGGGGTGTCTTCGTGTCACGGGCGTATCGCAGTGCACACCTCCGACACGTCGGGCAGTGTCAACCTTTCCAGCGTCAGTGGGACCGCCCACGTATCTGCAGGTAAGGCGCGACTCGTAATTTTTAAGGTGGAGGAGCAGCCGTTGCTCTGGTCATACAGACACCTGAGTGTTTACATACCATGAGCCAGGTTCCGCAAGTGTTACTGTGGCACATGTTTTTTTATTGCAGTTTCACGAACAAGGGACAGCGAAGGCCGTCGGCGGAGTTCTCCAAGGAGGTCAACGGCCTTTCCCCAGCCAATGTATTGGAGACCGCTTTGTCGTGACCACGTCTCGTTACTTTTGCGTCCATTGGCTGTACCCCCAGGTGAAGGTGGCGCTACCGTACACATGGACGTGTTGGAAGAGGGGACGGCCAGCCACATCAGGTGAAGCTTCGGTCTCCGCTTTTTGTTGTGTTTTGTGCCTCAGTGTTCGAAGTGTTCCCGCAGGCCTTCCACAGTGCGCACTTTCGCATATTCTCTAGGGCCTCAGAAATGCTTTCTAGCATCGAACCGAACGCGATGTTTCCGCACTTGCGAGAGTATATTAATTTCATCGCTGCGAAAAGCAAACTTTTCATTCTTAGAATGGTGCACATGTTTCGTAATGTGGAAGGGGTAAGCGTGATTTTGTTCGCCTCGTCTCTAGCTGCAGCACAATCGTTCATCGTATCCAGCTGCTCCTGGCCGACACCAAATCACCTCGGGTTCGTCAAGCCACTACATTGCTTCGCAGCGCTTACGCCAGACGTGTTCCCTTGGTTCGAGTAGACACACATCTATCACACGCTTGCTGCAGGAGCAGCGAGGCAGCAGAACGAGATTTCCTGTGAGACATTTCGAAATTTAGCTAATTCTGGCTACGTGTTCATTTGAGACCCTTGGCATGTTACTGCCGCGGAGTGCACCAACAACCATTGCTGGGGTTGCCCCTTTGCCGCAGATCTATCGGAGGTGATATCAACGTATCGTTGTCCCAGCAAGTGGATGCTGATGTGGAAATCACGGGAGACGTTGTCAAGGTGCCGTCAACGTTTAAAGGAGACACGCAGAGAGGCAGAGCCGTGGGCAGCATTTACAGTGCAAAAGTAGAGCCTTCGCGAGCAGCAAGATACGGCTCAACAAGCTCCACGGACGCAGGGGGCGGTAAAATCGACATGGTTGGAGCTCGGGGCCAGTCCCTTAGGCAATACTTCCCAGGAAACACATCGACCACCAGCGTACGCCCAAAGCTTTCCGTGGTTGCTGAAGGAGGTTGTGTTGTTGTGGAGACTCTAAGTTGGGCGGACAATATCACCCGAAAATTCGCAGTACGTGAGGCCGCCGCCGAGTTGTAGCGAGACGAGGAGTTAATACCGTGATATAGGACATTGCTTTGGTTCGCCCCCCGGGAAATGGTTCTTCATTCGCAAGAATAGCTAGTCAAGACTGCCATGGTCAAGTGAGCAGCACGCAACAGCTCAACGACCGTTCCGCCTTCACCTTCACGAATCGACGAATGAGCGCCCTCTTCGCTGGTTTGTGCGCGGTGGGTGACAACCATGAGCAGGCCCTTCGTTCAAAACGACCTCAACCCGCGAAGGAAGGCGGGGTTGCTGTTCAACAGTCTTTTCGCAACACGTTATTAGCCACATTGGTTCACATATCAGACAGCACACGGCGTTCCCAAGAAAACACGGGCAATGCCAAGAGGACTGCCTCGTTATTCTTGCGATGGTACTGCTGGGTGAAAAAATTACTACTGACTCAAACATATCTTCTGACTGGAAGATGCTCCCCGCACCAAGATTCAATCGCTCAGCGAATGACCAGCAATCCGGCTTCGTATTTGTACCAGGTCCACTTGAGGTCCAGCGCGTACATATTCCCGTAGATGCGAACTGCTACAGCAGGAAGGAAACATCGCCGCATGCCCCAGCTAAGCTTGTATCGAGTACCACTACGCACACATGCCATGCTAACTTCACGCATTACCGCTGCTCCGTGCACCACCAGGATGGGCAGTCACACTTGTCCAGCGATACAGAAGACAGGCAGACTGACCCCCATCATCTCCCGTATGAGACGAATCAGCAACCGCGTGCGCGCAAAGACCCAATCGCACATGCGCCGCACGCACACGTTTGCTTGAACAGCACGGCTTATCTTCGAACATCTCTGCTTCATCGGCGTCCGACGCTCCCACACGCTGCAAGAACGAACAAGCCATGGATGCAAATAGTGCGACATTGCGAGATCGAGTGAGAGTTTGCTACATATCTATAATGTACAACTGCTGGAGCTCTGCGTTCTTCAGCAACCTGCAAGATAATGGTCGGGGGGGGCTGAGAGCCGGTCATGATACGAAGAATTCGTAGCTGAATCCCATCTTGATGGCTCTACTACCGTGACAGACGGCACGTGCGCACCTTTACGTGCAGCGCAGGCCATAACGCCAGCTGCCATCACCAGCTCAAGCATCCCTCCAGCGCCCCTTATCCCGCCACACCTCAAGATGGAAATAACCGCTGCGGGTTGACAAGGAGTCACCTACCCCGTGATAGTACTGTTGTGGAGGCAGCAATCGCGCAAACTTTCTCCTGGCAAGGCGGCCTGCTGAAAGCGTTGTTGGGCCTCAATCCATCATTTCTTGCGCTTCTTCTGTGCACGCTTCTCGGATCGTTTCTGTCTTCTGCGAGCTTCCTCATTCCCGCCCACGGTCCTTACGCCTACAACTCCTCGCTCATCGTCGCTTCCGGCCCTATCTCGGCTCTCCCGTTTCCTCTTCTTCTTTTTCTTCTTGTTGGCCTTTTTCTTCTCCTCTTTCTTTCTCCTGTCTCCACGATCCCCATTCGCCCTCCCAGTGCCTTCCTCACTATCCTCTCGTTGCCTCTTCTTATCCACCGCGGGCGATGAACCTCCTCCTCCTCCTGTAGCGGCGGCTGCGGCATTCGGGTCGATGGCCGGCGTTGTTGCAGTCATGGCCCTTTCCTTCCGCTCTGCCCAGAATCGGCGAGCATCAACGTCGGAGGCGTGGCTCGCCGATGTATCACCTCCGTCGGCGGGGAATTTTTGTCGATTGCGGTTGGCGTCGTGAGCCAGCAGGCGCTCTCGCGCCCTCTGCTCGAGGCCGTACTGTCTCCAGCAGTCCTCCTCCTCCTCGCGCTTGTTGTGCGATTGTAGCCCGTGGACGGTGTTGAGAAGAAAGTTTTTGTTGACTCCTGCACGGCTGCTTCCTCCCCTACTCATATCTTCCCGTGATATGGTATCGCGAGGCGCGCTGGTCACAGCCAGCATGGGACGTTGACCGCTGTGGAGAACGCATGGGACAGCGGAGAGACGGAGCAAGAGGAGCAGAGGGACTCCGCCGAATTATGCGGCGCAATTTCCGTCACACCCCCCTCCCTGCATGGTGGAGCAAACGCGGGAGTGCTCTGACTGCCGTTGCTGCCACAACATTTGCGGCGATGGCGCTAGCCGCCACTTCGCGTGCACTGCGCGTAGCTCTAAAGAGACCATGTCAGCTCCGCGGGGGACTGCCTGACGCTAGATGGTGAGTTCAATCGTTCAGTTAAGTTCGAGTCGGTGTCACTACAGCACTGCTCTTGGCTCTTCAGTCGTTGTGCGGTGATGCTGCAGAGTTCGTGCTCAAGCAGCCCCCGTTGCTGGGCCAGGGGAAACCATGCCTCCAGGCGATGCATGCCAAGTTAAACTAGTCATCCATCTGTAGAATGTGTGATTCTGCGCCCTGTTGTTTTGGGATAAGATCATGTGTGGGACTACGATCGGATATTGACGTAAGATATAATCCCCACACACTCGAGGCCTGCTGCTGTCTGGCCTGACCCTTCGACTTGCTACACAAGGTGCTCAAGGTGCTCACGTGCTCACGGATGTAGGAGAGATGATACACTGATCGATCATGCAATCCTAGAGCCATTTTTCTCTTCCGAGGGCTTGTGAACTTTCACGTACAAAATTGTCGCACTACGTTTGTGTGTGAGGTATCTTCCGCATCGGAACAGAGTGTAGGTGGCATCCCTTCCTTACACGCCCCGTAATCTTTGTGATAGACCCCACCTGCAGTACAACATGAGTATAACCATACATGCAGGAACGTCGTTATCGAGGGCTCCTCTAACTGCCTCGCCCTTCCTCGCAACAATTCTCTCGCTTCCACAGCTCGGTGGCACTCCTGTGCGCACGACCTACGCAGCACCACCGCCAGGCAGCAGCGGCCTTGCACAGCAGCACGATGCTCCTTGACCGTGGGGACAAGCGAGGAGAGTCACACAACAGCATTGTCGACAACGGGGGTAAGAAACAAGGCACGGGCTCCGCTGACGAATCGAAGCCTGCCTTCGTGAGGAGTGTGTCCATGACGGACAAAGACAAACCCGACGTTGTCGACTTGGTGAGTCTACAGGATTGCATTCAAGTCTCTCATGACACTCACCCTTTAGCACGCCGCTGACAGAGACCATCGTGCTTGCATGTTGCAATGTTCAAGTGTAACTTCCCTTGCATGCGTGCTACGCCCAGCTGCTGTCACCAGAGTCATCACAGTACCACGCACCGCACCCTAGCTGTGTAGACTATGCGGTATGGTGGTACGGAATGTGCCTACACTTTTATCAATACTACATACGCCGGCCATGACCTTTCCCGCGAATTGTTGTACTGGAACTAACACGGCATCCCTGCCTCATTTCAATACCTGCATAGGCGGACTTGATCATGTCCGGCACAAGCTACAAAGAAGCGGTGAAGGGGACGGAGTTCGATGCCTTGGACAAAGAAACGTCGGAAGAGTTCGAGGAGTCACGTCGTCGATTGACGGCTCTGCGAGACAACAGACTCGAGGAATACCTGGAGGAGACGGGGTGAGTGTTCTCGATGACCCCGACCCCTTGGAGACCTCGGCCGAGCCCCCGCACTCATAGCAGAGGGCAGTAGCAATAGCAGCGGGTGCAACGCGGTGTATGAGGTGCTGCTGCGATGTGCTAGTCAGGTGGCAGTCTGTGGTGTTTGGTAGCTTTACCGTACGCACGGCAGCAGTTCGTGTTTCCCCCAGTTACGTCGCTGAAAACGTCCAGCATGCCACCAGTATCACCAGTCCCTGAGTGAGACGCACAGTCAATTACTGTTCGTTCGTCGCATATGCGTATCATTGCTGCTACCGTATTTTGTGGTTTGTTTCAAACTCCCCACTGGAACAGGACAGTTGAGACAACACCTGGTCGTGGTGTTGTCGTGCTGTCAGCTTTGGGTATTGGCCATGCATTGAACATGATCCGCGCTGCCGTTTGTGGTAATCGCTGAGTTCGCTCCCCCAACGTGTGCGATCGCTGTGTCTCGTGCTGCCTCCAAATTGTGGCAGCGAAACGGATCTACTGGACAAAGTTCGCGCAATTTATGGCGAGCCTGAGACCTCGGAACAAGTAAGCAAACAAGGAGCCAGGATTGGCCGCGATACGTGCCTTGCCTAGCCTGTTTCATGGCTACTGCGTTTTTGGCTTCCTATATGCTTCGCAAGAAGAATCACAGGAATTGTTTTGCGCTCGTCCACGATCTTGGTGTGGGCTGCGTGTTAGTTTGTCCGTTGTCAACTGGTTCGGTTACGGTGCTACCGCCGTACGCTGACGGGTGGTGTAGTAGCACTCTCTGCGAATGGTCTTGAATGTGGCAATGTTGAGGCGGTTCGATGGCTTGGTTGGGTGTTGTCGCGATCGGCATTCGCAACGCAACGCTGTGCTGTTCTCTTACCCATGTGTTTACTAGACCTCGGGAACAAGAAAGGCTCCTGGTGACGTATCTACATACATATCTCTGACGCATGCACTCGCACCGTCGTGTGCTGCCAGAACACATCGTGGGCTTGTTTCTCTCTGGCGCAGACACGGATGGCAATATTCAGAATGCCACAGCAGTCCTATTTCTTAGCGAGGGCATCGCCCGCCCATTCCCTTTTTGTTGCAGACTGACGGTCCTGCCCCTCCTAAGAAGAAGAAGACAGTGGAAATGGCGCAGGGACAATGGGCAGAGATTTTGGTCCACACTGACCGAGTGACCAAGGTACAGTGTTCACGAAGAGACTCGTGGGATATGCTACTCCGCTGTACAGTCCGGTATTGATGTGCTGCCCACCCTGTTTTATTTCGCTCGGTACCTCGTGCTCTATATATTTTTAGACAAGTGTCTCGGTTGGTCGACCAAAGACCGACAATGAATGCGCAGCGTTCGAATATCCCGGCCAGCGCGGTCGTTTCCCTGACCGCACGGCAACGCCATTTTTTTCCGGTGGTACTCCGAGAGTGTCACACCGAACAGCCGGTTGTCCGTTACCCTTGGTGAGACGTGTTCATTCCTGTGTGATGCAACTGGTGTAGTTTGGTGATGGAACGAAGAGCGTGGATTACGGATACGGTTGGTATATCCAACCCGTCATCTCGTAACCTAACCTATTTGCCGGCCCTGACCATCGTTCCTCAGACCGTCAAAGGCGGCATGGAGATCCAGTACAGGGCCCTGGTGACCGTGGGCAACCTCCATGGTGTCGGGGGATTCGCGATTGGCAAGGCAGACACCCCTGCCGTGGCCATCACCGAAGCCAGCCGGTGAGTGAGGTTTTCCTTCCTTCCGCCTGATTGCGTTCACGAATTCACAGGCCAGCACCTGTTTCCTCTTGGTGTTGGAAGAAGTACTCGTGGCTGATTGTCTTCCTCCAACATATCTCGATACCACCCTTTGATGCGCTTGGCCCTTGCCCTGCCAATGTGCCGTGCCCTGTCATGTCATCGTCGTTTTCGTTCTTGTCTCGGCAGAAAAGCGAAGTTGCTGCACAACCTCGTGTACGTGGAACGGTATAAGCAGGCGTCTCTGTGCCAGGACCTTGTGGGGAAGCACAACGGAAGCAAGGTACAACGGGAATCATCTCTATGGTTCGCTACCACATGTTGCCGAGCGTAACGTCGGGGTGCTCTACATCGTCGATCACGGTGTTCGAAGATGCCAGAAGGCTTGTTGGTTACCGCGTTGGGTGTACGAGGGCGGTCGACCGTCGCTCTCTTGACCCATGCATTGTCACGCCTGTCTGTGACACTATGTACGAAACGTTCCATGTCGTTTTTTCGGGGGGGGGATGTCGTAGGTGTACATCTGGTCGAGGCCACCAGGGTCTGGCATGAGAGCGGGCAAGCTGTCGCGGGACATCTTGTACAATATGGGCATCACGGATGGCGCGGTAAGTTATGTTGGGTGTGTGTGCTGTTTCAGTCATTCCGGAGTCTACCGTTGGAAGGGGCGCCGTTGTCGGTTCGGTGATGTGTTGTGGGTTTGGCTTGCAGGCCGCCAGTCTTTGCCAAGGCGACAATATGGCTAGTTTCGTGATCGAGAGCATACAATTGGTGTGCTCTGTATGTCCGTTGTTGTAGCTCTAAGCTTGTCTCATCGCGTTTCACGTTTCTGCCGAGATGCACCTCAGAGAGCTTTTCACAAACCCGCGTTTATGAGGCCCATGGCTCACTCTCCGCCCAACCCTCCACTCCTTCAGTGCAAGATCATCGGAAGGCGCAACAAGTACTCCATGATCTACGCCATGTTCGACGCCCTTGCCAAGCACCGTGGAATCGAGAGCATAGCGAGGGGGCGGGGCAAGCGCATCTTGTCTCTCCAGCGAGAAATGGCAGGGCGGTTTGCCTGAGTGGACGTAACCTTCACGTACCCTTGGCGAATTGTATCTGTTCTGCTCCGGTGTGCAAGTCAGCAGAGACCGACTTGTGAAGGTTGATTGCCATGTAGGGGCGTGAAGTACTGCGTGTATTGGAGGCGTGATCAACGACACAAGCAACAGTTGGACGTCGCTGTAGTGGAAGCATGATGCGCACCGTCAAGTTCTGGTGGATTTTTTTTCGTCATGTCTGCGTGACCAGAATGAGCGAAGTAGTAATCAACAGGGCTCATTTTTGCCAGCCTTGGGTGGTACCTTCGGACCGTTACATTTGATCGCATATGTGTGTCCTCGCCCACCCAGACCGAGCGTGGTGGGAACCACCGAATACGCTGCCCGTCACGAGAAAGCAGACAAACGACTTAAATGTTACTCCGTATGTCGCATGGAGCACTGGTCACATTCGCTTCCAGTCGCAACAAGGCAGATGGAGCAGGCCTGGCCAACAATGCTGACGATCTCTTCGACCACTGAATAACCCCACTGAATATCTCGCCATCGATTGATGTCTCTCTGGCACAGCATCCCCCACGGCCGTCTGCAGGGGATAGGTACATCAGTTTGCTCCAAACACCACCCGGTAGTCGACTGCTGGAGCCAAGTCATCGTCACCACCGTCTTACGTAAAGGGCCTGCTGCCATTACCCCGATGGGTACCGGAACCACTTTGGTGTTGTCGATGCAACGCAAGTCTCTAATGAAACTTGCAACACATTTTGCGCCATTTTACCGACTGTTCACCTGATACGCTCAAGCAACCTAAGCGCACCCTTCCACCCTTCACTCATGTCGAGAAGCTGGACCCATCCTTTGTTGAGGCCCTCCAAAAAAGGCAGGGGCTGTAGTGCTGATCTCAAACCAAAGAAAGTCTCTCCTCTACGTTGGCCAAAGGCCATCGAAAGTTGGGGGTCAAGTACCTTTGTAAAGCAACACAACTCTGACCGAGGCAGGTCGCCTTGTTGCTGGCTCATAGCCTCAATTGAGCTGCTTTCTTGCTTGTGCTCTTGGCATCTCCTTCCATGCCCTTCCCTGCCGACTTTACGCTCGCGGTCACCTGCAGGGCACACACACACAAAAAAAGAAAAACACCGAGAGTCTGCAACAGTTGGACCAACATCAATACAAGTGGGGGAGGCAAAAACAAACGCACGTCCAAATCCATTGGTGGGGTTTTAGAGTCGGAAACCAAAAAATTTCGTCGACACAAGAGAGGGGAGCTTGGACATACATGCACGAGAGCGAAAGCACCCGGCAGTACACAAGTTTTCCACACATAATCACGTGTATCGATCGATCTACCGCAACGTGCCTTGGGTGAACGACGTCTGCTGTAATGCTCTACCCGTTGTGTGTACAGTCGACGCCAGTGAGGACCCTCAGTAAACTACGCTTCGCATAGCGGAGCACAACACAAGAGGTTCGCCCCCTTCCCCTTTCTTGCTTTCTAGGGCCTTCGCCTTCCTTATGAGATGTACTCCTGCCTTCGACACTTGGTGACGACACTGGGTGGGATGATACTTAGTTCTAGCTCTGATTCTCAAATCGACCGTTGAATAGTGTCTGTACTCACGGATTCCTGAAGCTGACTGAAGAACTTCGCAGAAGTGCTGAATTCCCGTCCACTTGATTCCTCGCCCCCTGCGTAAAGAACGTCAAAACCAGGCGAGGGACACCTCGGCCATTCAGATAATGCGCAGTCTGCCAACATGAAACGCTGCATCAATGCATGCGCGTGCCTGAAGGCTTCTACGATAGAACAGCATCGTAACTGGTCGTAATGGTCTGTCTGCAGACACCGAACTGGGGACAGGAAGTGGCAAGGGGTGCAAGAGAGCGCACGACTGACTCGCTGTGCACGATGTGCGTCTATTGTGCAAAGAATAGATTATTGGGACCAACACATGCTCCACAGTACTATCATATAGTGGTTGCTACGCAATCGGCACGCCAGTCCGTCCTCACACGAGGTGAAAGCGATCTGACTAATGTACCGCCAACAAAAACTGTTGCTCGGCGACTTCCGCGTGGCAGGCAACTAGCAGAGCATCAAAACGGGTGCCGATACGCCGATGAGGCGGTGTCGAGCCTGACCATTCGGTTCAGTCCGAAAAAAAAAGCATGCCAGACAGGAAGGTGTTCATTGCTCGCATACCAGAGATCCTGGTTGTGTAATTCAACAACTGGTATGTGTACTGCCCGTGCAGCAAGTGGAATACCTGCGGCGGTGGTGACGTTCTTTGCACCCTCGATGTCCTTCATCATCTTGGCCTTCTCGTACTTGTTCCCGAGACCCGGATTGAGCTTGGACACCAGCTTCTGGGTCGCTTGCGCCTGACCATGGACGGCACCATTCAAGCATGGATCGCGTCAAGAAACTCGGCACGCCAGAAAATATTTGCAGCTCATGCACCACTTGATTTGATCAACAGGTTGCGGCATGCGGCAGGAAAAGCTGCCGGTGTACCTTTGCCACAACGACGAGAAAAAAAAAACGCGCTCAGGAATCCACCGAAACACACCCGCCGATTGAGTTCTGTAGGAAAGCAAGCGTGCGGTAGATGAACGGCAGTCCTCAAATACACTTTGCGGCCTTCCACTGCAAGGTGCATCGTACATTGTGGTGATGCCATGGGGGCAGGCTACATTTGCGTCTTCAAACAATAACACCGTTGCCGGGTAACTTGGTATGGTACCATCTAGACGACCGCAGCACCATCACATACAACATCATGACCGGTATTGAGTAAAGCTCGTTCTCCGAAGAGGCCTTGCCGGGAATAAATATCACTATGACCTCATCAACACCGTCATGCTTCCAAGAGAGAGGCCTTGCAGGGAATAAGTATCACGATGACCTCATCAACACCGTCATGTTTCCAAGAGAGAGGTCTTGCAGGGAAAAAAGAGCACTGGACGGTATTCGAGTAACAGCAGAGTCGAATAGCCAAGAACAACCTCTTCGTCATCGAAACGCACGTCGCTGCTGTTAGTTTGAACCAAAACAGGCAGCAAACGCACGCGACCAGAACCATACTTACAAAGTTGATTGTGCGTACCTTTCGCCTGGCTTTCCGCCTAACGGCCTTCTTCGACGAGCGTGACCGTTTTCGATCCTCCTGGCTCATCTCTGCCCCACCTGCGGAGCCACAAGTTTTCATGATCGAATGAGAACAAAGCAAGTGGTTGCACGACACAAAAAAAGACGACAAGAACCTTGCTCACGCTATCACCCCCTCGAGCATAGAGGAAGGGGCGGTATTGTGATCAGGCGACAACCTTCACAAGGGGCAAGATACAGGAGGACCACACAAGGCCGCCCTGTGATTGTGTCCCACAATACGTTCCCGAGCACCCTCCGCACCAAACCAGCGCTCGCACAAAACACCCAAAGTCGCACGAGCTCACACGTGAGAGTAACCTAAAACACGACGACGCCACTACCCTATACCACAAGTCTCACCAGCCAACCGACATACAAGCCACCCCTACTACGCATGCCTTCTAAGAACTCTGCTTCTCGGCCCCGCTTTTTCTTGTAAAGTTCTTCGGGCGCCAGAGCCTCCGCGTCTGCGACAGACGAAGGCAACACCTCCTCCATGGCAATGGCGGCCACGTCGGCCTGGACCTGATGGACGAAGGGCGATCGCCATGGAACACACAGTGATGAAACATGAGTGAAGGGGCAGCAACGATAAGCGTAAACTAACCTGGTACAATCCCCAAGAGAGCGGGTTGCGTCCAAGACCCCAACAGTTCGCGGGATAGAAATACTACAAAAAGCCGTCGTAGCCAAGAAACATCGTGCCATCAACGTCAAAACCGGCACGCCTATCGGAAAAGAATAAACCCCGCAAGAAGTCCTACAGTCCTACAGCAGCAGAGGGGGAGACAGATAGGTTGATGACATCTTTCCCCATGGCTGCTGCCCTATCTCACTTGCCTTCATCTCTGGGATGGCGGCCTTCGGTGTGTAGTGGAAGTTGCACAGAGCGTCCAGCTTCCCGCACAGCTTGGAGAAGAGATGCTTCAGCTCGTTCTTCAGGCCCTTCTGAGGATCGTCCTCTGTCACACCCATGGTTTTCTTCAAGAACTGCAGGCGCCGCAACAACCGACGTTGGTGGGGGGTGATTGTGGGGATGTGACATGCCAAAGCACAGATCAGTCATGTTGTGGGGCTCATGAACGAAGTCAGTTACAGTAGTCCATGGTGGCTTTGGTGCCGCCGACATGTCAAGCACGCCTGGACAAATTAGACTCAAATGTTGAGGTGCTTCGAATACAGCATGGAACCCTCGCACTCTGAAGGGAGAGGAAAAACTGTAGTCCTCAACACGTGACGAAGGCCGGATACGCGAGAGGCCGATCAAGGAGACCGCAAAATATCCTACTACCTCAAACCCACGTCGCACAATAATCGACTACGCTGGACTGCAATCGCATTTCATTGTCGAGTCGAAAGACGACTATGCCAACGCATGGAAAGGTGGGCGATGCGTCGACCACCGGCATTGACCAGGCATCATCGAGCAGCACCAAGCAAACGCTATCTACGACCGTGCGAAAGCAAGCAACGATACTTTGGCCCAATTTGGGGAACGTCAAGATATCTTCGATGAGCAACATACAGACGTCTATTTGCCGTAGGACGAGCATCATCTGCAGAAAAAGTAAGCACTTCGTACGATTTTTCTTGCGTACCTCTTTCTCGTACAGCTCGCCAAGGCCTTCCTTGCTTTTGTCCTGCGATAGGTGAGGCACCTCCTTCCGAACCGTCGGTCCTTGGAGGTTCCTTCAGAGGTCGGCCAAGACGAAGCGTGCATTGCGTTGAGCGATAAATCGTGTATTGTGGGGGAGGCACGTAACCGCACCACTGCGAAGCAAGATACCAGGTAGGTCGATGTGATCCTACACTTGATCAACCGTGACACAAAAAAGGGCTGGTACACAGCTCACATGTCGAGCCCCACGCAAGTCACATCAATACTCACAAATTTATTTCTCACTCAAAAGCCTGTGCTCGGTATGTGGCCGCAAAGCACGTGTTGGTATGAATGTTGTCGCAGTGGCATGACTTGCGGCAAACTATTGTACCACAGAGGCATATATCGAGTTATCCTAGCAGAGTGCGAATCCGACACGATGAGCACAACACACCAGTACATGGAGAACAGCCGTTGGCCACAATCAATATTCGCTTGCCCCGGCTCAGACTCACCGCGGGGTGACATCATCCCAGTTGCCGTCCAAGCACCTTTTCTTGATCATGTCCAGCAGCGTCATCGCGTGCTCCGCCGTGGGGGGTGGGGCTACACGCGTGGCGCGCTCAACGTCCACGGTTGCCTCCAGCAGACTGCGATCAACCACAGCAGCAGCACCAATAGCACAACAACAGCGTGGCAGCAACGTGGGTGCCAATCAAACGGGAAGACGGTTGAAATGGCCGCATGATGGCATGGCAACGTGGGACCGGACTAGGACGGGCCTGTCGTACAACACACAGAATGACACCCATGTCCTCAACAACACGATCATGTCATCGATCAAGAACGGCTAACAGAAAAATACCTCAACTGGCTCGTAAAAGGGACACGACTACAACGGCCAAATATCAGCCTTGACTGTCAATGCAGAAGAGCCGAGAACAATACCTAACGCCTCGAGAACGACATCTTGCGCCGCACACACACTCACCTATTCTGCGGCCTGTCGTGGGAGTGCACCTCGCCTCTCAACGCCCACGGCTTCTCCGCGAGCAGCTCTCTCTCTTGGTCGGAGATCTTGCTCTTCATCCGCCTGGAATGCTGCACGTGCGCTGACAAGACCCCAGCTTCTTCCTTTTCTTCCTCTCCCTCGTCGTTACTTGCATCTTCATCTTCTTCGTCATCGACGTCATCCCCGTCGCTCTCTGCATCACCTTCCTCCTCCTCCTCCTGCTGACGGCGGTTAGACTGTTTTTTCTTCGACAGTCTCCGCTTGCTCCTTGGCTTGTCACTGCTATCGCGAGAGCGTTTGCGTTGCCGTTGAGGGAGGAGACACGTGAAACGACAGTGGAGTGGGAAAAAAAATTGAAAGGGGGGGGGGGGGGTACTCATAGTCGTGCATGCCGTAGTCGTTAGACCATTGACCTCGCATCCCTACAAAGCCGGGACGGAGCACGCCGGGTTCTCACCGGACCAGGCTCTCACATCACCAAGCGCGAAGCGCCGTGAGATATTCGGCGAGTCGCATGAAGGGTGCGCTGCATCCTGCTAAGGGTGTTCGGCATCTTGTGCTTACTTCCTTGCGTACGGATGACAGCTGCGTATGACTTAATTTACTTTCTGGTGCTTTCACTTCCTGAGACAGTCGTAAGCACTGTGTAACTGCCTCGAGGGTGCGTGAACATTTTAACACAACGTGGTGCGATCATCCCCCTTGCGCGGAGTGAGGGTTCTCGACCCCGCACAACATGATCTACTCGACCACCATTATGGTTACCGCCAAAAAAAAAAAACGGAGGTAAAAAAAAACGGTAACCTGGTTGCCGAGTTCACGAAGTGAATTGGCTTGTTTTACAACGTCGTCGCCAAGCGACGAAAACCCAATCCCGATGGCAAACACCGGGGGGGGCGGCTTGTTTTACAACGTCGTTGCCAAGCGACGAAAACCCAACCCCGATGGCAACACCGGGGGGAGGGGGGGGGCGGGACAACGAGAGGTATCGTTGTGGTCACAACGATGAAGAAAAGCCACCCGAGAATACTCCCGTGCCCTCTTCTTCCATGTTCAAAACATACGCACGTCTCGATCAAACAAGGGCAAAAGAAGAGGTACTTTCGTCTGGAACTAGAGGGCCTAGCAAGGCACTTTATACTTGCAGGGAAATGCAAAACACGAAACACTCCGGCACCCGAAAATAACCTACGAACGAAGAACATGTAAAACAGGCCGAATTAGACGCAAGCAGCTCATTGAACGCATCAGAGACAGGCTTGTCGCTGAAATCGACCATTCCTGTTCTTAAACGGCAACAGACGTGGCAGGCCGCCATCGACACCAAGCATGTCTTTGCAAACAAAATCAAGACTGCTTTACGACGACCGCAACGGCACAAACCATCACTGCCGCGGACGAGCTACACCGGTATCACTCGACAGCGCCTGCTCAGCCATGGCTACGGCGAACTCACCCATCGTCGCCGTCGTCGAAGAAGTCCTCGTGCTTGATCCCGCCACCGACTTGCTCGTCCCCCGATTCCGCCTCCTCTTGCATGAGCTCCTCCATCATCTCCGCGTCGTCTTCCTCGTCCGAGTCGTCTTCCTGATCTTTCTCTTCCCCTGAATCGGCGTCGCCTCCTCCTCCACCGTACATCTCGTCGAGAACGTCGTCTGTAGGCAGAACAAGAGAGGCGCAGCGAGGGAAAAAGAAGCCCCACATGTCAGAACACATCATACAGCGAGGTGAGGGGATCGTGTTGTTGCCCGATCGCCGGCTGGTCATCGTCCGCGACTCTTCGAGCAACAACAACCCAACCTCCTCACCCTCAACAAAATGAGGTTGATAAATACGGGGTCATACCTTTCTCAATATCCAACATAGAGTGCCTCGGCTGCCTGACGGCAGGCGGCACCCCACAAAACCTCTCATTTCTCACAGGTGTCTCACCCTCGAGATCATCATCATCCATGGTGCCTTCGTCTGCAAACTTTTCCATGTCATCGGCGTCGAAGAACATGTCTTCGGTCTGCGGTAACACAGGAAGAAAAGGCAGCGGCAATAGTAGACGTGTGTCAGTACGTGCGCCTTGCATGTTTAGATCCTGTCGGCATCGTAAACCTCTCTACGTCCAACTAAATTCTCGCAAGAGCACGCTTGCAACTCTTTGCTACCTCTGCTACCGTAAACAAACACATTCAGCAGCACGGTAATGAGCGTGTCGCCAAACACGCGTCAAAAACATCGGCGGGATGAATGAACAGTACAATAGCGGGCGTTGTAGAGATTTCACCGGCACTACACCGGACACCGGCGCTACTCAGAGTACATAACGACTTAATATTTCAGAGAGTGCGAGCCGAAACACCGGCGCTATTCCCGCGCCCCGAACTATTCTACCGCCACTATACAGGGTCCACTACCGTTGCCGAAACATGGTATAAAAGAGCAACCTCGTACAATCAAAGCGTTGCCAACGACATGAGAAACATGCTGGATGCAAATAAACGTGCATGATTGCTATATTGCTCAAACTGAAGCCGTGTTCAACAATGGCAAGGAGCAATCCACGGCCAACTGTGCACTGCAAAAACAGCATGGGCCACCCCCCCCCTTGCACCTTTTGGTTCTTGGATTTCTTGCTGCTCTTCGTTGTCCCCGTTGTCTTGTCCCCCTTCCCTCCTCCTTTAAATGCGCTGGTATCCCTTTCATCGCCGTCAGCATCGCTGTCACCCTCCCCATTCACCTCTCCCTCAGCGTCATCGTCTCCATCGCTGAAGCCTCCACCACCCAACAACGCTGTGCTATCACCTCCCTGCATGCCTGCGTCGTTATCATCAGCTTCCTCGCCATCGCTAGCCTTCTCTACATCTTCAGCCTCCTCGTCCGATGCGATTTCCGCAGCTAGCTGCATCATCATCGCAAACATCACCAACGCCACAAACCAGAATCAGCGTCAGCGCAATGCAGCTAGCTGCATCATCATCGCAAACATCACCAACGCCACAAACCAGAATCAGCGTCAGCGCAACGGCAAATCAATTCCCCGTGGGGTCACAAACCATTCCTTGTGGAAGCTCGGGAAGGTCGTGGGTAACGGGATGTAACGATTTACTCATTTTTCGTTATACACCAGCAGCGGCAGCGACAACCAAAGTCGGCATCAGCGGAAAAGTGGCTGCCACGGAAACAACCAGCTTGGAACAGCGAGCAGTGGTAAGTACTCATCACGGCATGGCACAGATAATGCGCCGTCTCCAGCAAGTGCGACAGCATCACACTCAGTCAACGACCCGGTGGTCTCACTCCAATGCGGCTGCCACAGAGCAGCCCACCACGCCACGAAGAGAGCGGGATCCAAAACTACGTGGATGGCGAAGCCTGCCTCCTCACCGACATGTCCTCGCTTTGCAGCAGACGCGTCAGGGTCTTCTTTGTGTGCTTCTCCAACGGAACGTTCCGCAACTCCAGCTCCGACCAGATCGACTCGCTGTCCAGGCCTGCAAACATCAGCCGGCCATGTCAGACAAGATAAACGTCCCATTTTAGGCAAGGCCGCAAAAAGAAGGTGAGGTAGAAAATCCTGGCCGCATGTAACAAACGAGACAAGAAAGAAAAAAAGAAGAAGGCATTGGAGGGGGATAGCGAAGAATGATACACGGCGGGACGCGTGGGCACGATGCTGCCTTCGCGGACCCTGACTTGGGACACGGCGACCCCCGGACAGAAGACCTCTGGATCATGTGGAATAGAAACAACGCTCCCCACAAATCAAGCTGTCCGGGCGATTCCACGACTGCTCCCATTTGAGAACTCCGAACTCTATTATAGTGGGTGCTCTCGATGGCGGTTTCTCACGGCGGACCTGTACCGTACCTATTCGTCGCGTGAAGGCGCCCGGACTATGTACAACAGCAGCAGCTGTTGGTGTGTTTACCGTATACCAGAGGGTGCCCGTGACACCAAGTGCCTGTGCAAATATGTTTTGATCACGCGTGCATGTAATGTCACACCGATAACATCCGAGGTCACCATAGCACCGTCGCAACCGAGCCCTGTGACACCCGTCAACTCCACCAGGCACTTGAACGGACGACGGCAACACGATGAGTGCTCACCTTGTACATGAAGCTCTTCCAGAGGTCCGAAGGGCTTCCTTTGAGCCTCGCACTTTCTCGCTATGGAGAACAGGCTGCGTAGGACGCTCGTTAGCTCCTGGTCACCGGGATATACCACAGAGATTGAGTCAGCAACAGCAGTGAAGGTGGGACGGAGGCGGCGAGATACAGGATCGGTCATTGCGGTCTGCCACAGCCCCATGTTGGGTTGAGGGGATCTCGCCAATACCCATGCCGAGGTTCATAGACTTAATCAACTTACAGAAGGCTAGTCACAGTTGTTAGCTGGCCATGGCCTTCCCTTAGGGCATTCCGTAGAGTAGTCAACGTGTTGATTAAGCAGTAGAACGTACGGCAGTAGCGGAAGCAGCAGCGGTGGCTGGCCTACACGAAACGTGTCACATGACGGCGGTGGTTCCTGTTTCTGAACCGCCGCCATACCTTGGCGATTCTCTGGCATTTCTGTCATAGCACACGTACCTCTGCGATGGCCTCATTCGCTTGGAAGAAGTCTTCTGGTCTGCTTGCCGCGAGAGTGAGACGATCAGCCGCCTGCTGGAGGTCTGTGGTGTGGTCGAGGGCAAGCATTGTCGTGGCAGCAGGAGCAGCAGCAGCAGCAGCAACATGCTGCGGCGTGCCAGTACCGCTCGCTCCCTCCAGGACGGGGGAGGTCTCGGCAGCTCTTCGTCGCTTCGCCATGTGTCTGGTCAGTGCGCACGTACGAGAGGTGAAGGAGATCACCACAGCAAGACGAAAGGATTGACAACCTCCGGCACAGCCAGCCAGCAGCCGTGACTAGCTGCTGCGCGTGTGTGTGGCAGGCGGCCGGCGAGGACGCGGTTGTACGCCGTGTTGAATCCACGGAGCCCCCCTTAATTCCGCCGCATGGTTACCTCCGACCGTCCTTGTTGTCAGCTGCCTGTGCAGTGGTTGTTTTTCCTGTCGTCCCAATTGCGCTCACCACCACCACCGCCCACTTGGCGGAGCGGGCACCCTTTCTCCTACGTATTACGGAAGTGTTACAAGGTTATCATTCTTGGGGGCGTGGGAGATAAGAAGCCAAGCACCACACTAGAAGATTTGCTGTGCTGGACGAAGGGCGAGAGCGGGCGTGCATGTTTTTCGGTTGTCCAGGTCGGCGGACTTCAGCTCTCTTCCTCGGTGCCGCAGGCCTGGCCTGAAAGCGTTCACCGCGGGGGCGTTGACCCTTGGCCGCAGTCTCTGGTGCAGGTTCCCCCCGGCTGCTAACGTGTAGCTTTGAAGCCCAGTAATCGCCACCCGCCTGAACGAAAGAGAACTACAGCAGTAGAGCGGCCAGATCGCGTTCTGCAAGGTTAGATTTGGGGGTCGTCGAGAGCGGCACGGGCCAAGGTATGGACTGGACTCCGGCTACCGTCGGTTCTTCGAGCTCTTCAGCAGCCAACTACGGAGAGTCTACGGGAATGGTAAGAGCGTCCCCAGATGAGATGACGGTGTTCGCTTCCACCGGTCGGAATGTAGCTCCTCCTCGAGACCCGGCAGATTTTCCGCGCGAACACGCTGCGACCACAGCGGGCACGCCGTTAGGAGGACAATCGGGGCAGCGGGGGCGGGAGGGTGTGGTGGCGCGCCAGGCGGTTGGATCCGGTGCAGCGGTAACGGTCCTGTCGAGGAATCACCGACCCGAAGGAGGGCGCGATGGAGAAAAGACACTCCCGGCGTGGATGGCCGCGGGCCCGGCTGCTTTGCCGGAACGGCGCCAACAGCAAGCAACACCTGTTGCGAATGCTCCAACGCAGACGCCTCGACCAACCGGATTGTACTCATCTCGTCCACAGCAGGGTGCTCCGAGCAAGAAACAAGCGGGTCCAAACGATGGCGACAGGAATTCCCGGTCGAAAATCAGTGATCGAAACAGGAACAACTATGATGAGGAGCCGCATCGATCTTTAGGTGCTGGCGCAACCCCAGACGTGAGCACCCCGTATGCAATGGCTCGAGAATCGCGTAATGACACACCTGCACCCAGAACGCCAATCACGGCGGCCCCGAGACCGTCGGCAAATCCCCAGTCAGTAGGAAGGGGGCGCGGTCGAGAGAGGACGCTGCCAGCGTGGATGACTGCGGCGGAGGCAACCCCGCCGGGCGGACTTCAACAGCAATCGGCGCCTGGAACCACTTCCGCCGGACAGGTACCCAGACCTACGGGGTCGTTCTCATCTCGCCCACAGCCGACTACCCAAACCACTGCCCACGGCCGTTACAGCATTAAGAATACATCGAGTGAAGACAATCAAACGGCCAGAGCGGCAGCAACGGGCACCTTCCACGTGGGCGTTGGTCGACATGGGAATCTGCAGCGGCAAGGGCGAGCACCGGGAGGTCAAGGTAGCAGCCATGGCATGTTTGAGACACTTCGTGAACAGTACCCGGGATCCGCGGGAGTGAGTATGGCCGGGTCATCGGGGGCAAGGCCCACTACCCACCACCAGAGTTTGTTCACAACGGTGGTAGGGCACCGTCGAGGACTCAAGGTTCGGAGGTGGGTGCGTGGTGAGACACGTGATGACGGTGCGCCTGGCGGGCTTCGACCGTACGAGGAGGGTGCGAGCGATTCTTTGCCTCGGGCTTCTCTACCGACCGGATCGTACTCGTCCCACCCAGGACATAGAACTCAGGGCGCTGTCCCGAACAGCGGCGGTAGTAGCAGGTATAAAGCAGGCACGAACAGAAAGGGACGCCGTGCTGCCGGAATCGGCACTCATCAACCGGAAAGATCGGCATCCACCAACCCAGAGATTGGCAGTTGGCATGCCAACGCTGAGAGAATTGACGGCCAGAGCCCAGTTCCAGCGGGTACGGTTGGCTTGAACGGCGCACCCGAGAGAGGGTTGCTGATGGCGGATCCCTCTTCCCAGCACCAGGAGTTGGCCACGACGGCAGGCGAAGAGTGCGGCGGTGAGCAATCGAGGCCGAAGAGAGGACGCGAAGAGGAACCAGGGATGGATTCGACGGGCTCCGCGTCCCGTGCTCGGGGCGGCGCGTCCGGGCGACAACCATCAGGGCTTGGCGGGCTGCTGGACGTGATACGCAGGACGGCTAGCATGAACTTACAGCCCCCCGCGAAGAAGAACAAAGTGGCTCTTTCCAAGAGCAGCCCGCCGAAGGTGAATTTCTGCAGTTCAAGAGACGAATACTGCCATTTTTCGTCAGAGCACGTATTTCGGGCGGCATGTTGCGAAGGGGTACCTTGTGAAGCAGCTGTAGGCGTGTTTCGTGGGTCGAGTGGATGTGCGACAGGTAGGGGTGCTGTGATACCCACTCGGTCGAAGCCTATCTCAGACCAGGACACCAACATTACCTTGCGTACTCGCACTTACTGAATTGAAAAACCAGGTCTTGAGAACGCTTGAACGCTCTCGGGGTTAGGCCGGCAGTCCGTTTATCTGGCTGCAGGGTACGAAGTTGTTGGATACCGCTGTATGTCCCGCATGCCTGTCACCCTACAAGGACTCTATATTTGTGCGCCCCTTGACGGAACGTGAGGTTTTATCATTTCCAGGGTCTTGTTGTTCTCGACTCCCGACCAAGCCATGTTTCATGCGAGTTTCGCAAGTCTACCCTTAATCTCGCTGTGACACAACTGCCTTCAAGTTGGTGGCCGTACCTCCAACCAGTTCTCTGCATCTGTGCCCCGCACGGTCTTGTCATTGCAGAATCTGGTCGCTACCAGGGCCCGGTTCCAGATCGTCCATCACCACGACGCTCCGAAGCAGCAGCAGCAGCAGTTAGTAGCCCATAGGAGTAAGTTGCCTACCTTGAACACCGCCGGCGAAGCACGAGGTACGAGCAAGAGCAAAGGATCATCACGGGTCCCGCTTGCGGGCGCCGCTCTCTCCTCGAGGCCTTCACGTTCCACAACCCCGAAGAAGGTAGTCATTGACGGCAATGACGTCGCGCTTTGCCACCGGGGAGCACATGGTCAATGGTCGGCGCAGGGGGCCTTGCTGGCCATCCAGGTGGGTTCCTTCTTCGCCAACCCTAACCTTGCCAACCTTCCGCAAGATCCGTATCTACTGCCCCCCTTCCGTAGCATTCACGATCCGCTGATATAGCTCTTCCTTCACCTCGAGCTTCACGAGGTTGATGACGTGGGTGGGGGCCTCTTTCAGTCTCGACTCCCCGAAACAGCTGCCGCCGCTCGCCGCCTTGTGATGTCCTTTTGTGTTGGCTGGACCAAGCGTGTCATTGGATTCTCTTTTGGCAGCACTTGAACGGGGTGGGGTTCCGAACGGATCAGGGGAGAGTGCATGTCTGTTGACTGCCTTGCCTCAGAAAACACACATGCTTTTTGCAGTTTTCTGTCAAGAGGTTCCACCGCCGTGGGTTTATAGGTTGCAGCCCTTTCCAGGAAACCCTTGCCAGGTTGCGACTCTCAACGCAAGAATGGTTAGAATGAGGCTTTTTGGGCGATGTGAGATTGACTTCGCCACACGTGTATACCTCTCGCCCTTGCCGTTCCCAGTTTTTCGAGCGACGTGGCGTACCGTGCGTGGCCTTCCTTCCTCGTGAACGCATGGCTGGCGTCTCCCCTCGAGATGGTGAGATGGATTTCGGGTTTGTTGCCGTCGTCGTTCGCGACTTTGGACGCTCGATGGTGATCAAACCTTCGACGCACACCGGGTGCTTTTCTCATCACGCACGGTGCGCGTGTACTTTGTGGTGTTGAAGGAGCAGTCATGGCAGCGTACGCATCACTCCAATACTGGCGTACTCGTAGCTTATGGCATACAAGGGATAGCCATGACAGCGTACACGTGCCCGACCCTCCAAGCCCGTATTTTCTACCAACCGGCGAAGAAATTTTGTTTCACCCAACCCCCTCCTCTGGCGAGTATTCCGCATTGGGTCCGCGTATTCTTTGCTGTCGTCGTGGCTCGCGGCAATTCTTTGTTGCCTGTTGCGTACAGTGTAGGCCCCATTGTTTGTACCTGTGTGCTGCGGTTTGCTGCAAGTGTTTTGTGGTCGGGAATCGTGCACTGCGATTTGATTCCCCATTTGCAATTCCGCGGCGGGGATGCCGCGACGGTGCGTCGGCTGTGTTTGTAATACATGTGGAGCACGCGAGATGCTTTGCTTCTTGACTGTACTGCTCAAGACGTGAACACCATTCTCGTACCTGGCAATGCAAGCTACCTCACTGCCGTTATTGCATGTTCCCCCCTGCCGTCGTTCTAGAACTAAGCGATAACTCGACCTATCACACCTCTCAAGAAGCTCAAAAGTGTGGGGTTACGCATGCATTGCAGAGAGAAAATGAGTTGGAGGTTTAACGCGCCGTTTTTTGGCAAACCTCACAGCACAAGGTAGATTCAACACGCGGTTGACTGTCATGTTCTGTACGCGCATCTTGGCCCGCCGTGGCGCTTTTTCGTCTTGCTTCTGTAACCCCCCGCGGTCGACAATTTTTGTTTGTCAAAACCCCCTTGTTGCCTCTTCGATCACATCTTGCCATGCACGCCTATTGGGACCGTTGCTGACACAACTCGAGATTTGTGACCGTGGGCCAGCACTGCGCTTGGCTCGTTGTTGATAACGGCCTTAGCCTTGGCTTGGACGCAACTCGTGTTGACACGGTTCAATGACCCTGCTGCTATCCTTGCCCGTGGCAGGCTGCAACACTGCTTTTCAGGAAGCAAGGGCCAAAGGAGCGATCAACGAAATCCCCCGGGGGGAGAAGGCCGATCTGTCCATCCTCAAGTGAGTTCAAGAGTTTGGCCCCCGATATTTGCAGTACGACTGCTTGAGTTGGCAACAAAAGCTACCTTTGGTATGTATTGAGGGTGACTTTTCTATGCGATTTGTCAAAAAGGTACAAGGCAAACGCTACCCTCTGGTATGTATCGAGGGTAACTTTTCCGTGCAATTTGCTCCCGAGGTTCGTTACCGTAGTTGGGGCTTGATCGACAGGTGTGTTGGACCCGGCTTGGAAGTCTCACCTCCGGAAGGGTGCAGATCGGGTGACTCTTGGCAGATAGTACGTTTCAAGCAACGTTTGTGCACATGCAAAAGGACGCTCGCCCGACAACAAGTACGGGCCGCCGTGACAAGGAAGACCTACAGTCGCAGCGGCATGGCCCTGGTCGCGCCGCAAGGTACTGCGGCCACTGCTGCTGTGACAGTACTTCCGCGACCAAAGAGATATGTCAACATCTGTACAACGTTGTTCAACCAGTTGTTGTTCACTCCTTGGCCAATGGGACATCTTTTTCAACTATTATAATAGGATGTGGACACTTGTCGCTCCATTAGCAGCTGCCCGGTGGACAATTACGTCTCGTAGATACACGGCTTGTAAAACCTTTGGCGCTGTCGGCTGCTCCTCCCTGCGACAGGTACGCCATCGAATCGAAAGTCCACGTGGTCACCAACAAGAAACTTAGCACCCACGCCACCAGCAACGAGGCACTAGGTGGGTGACGGTGTGCCCTCGTGTGCGAATAGCTCCAAGGGCGACGCTTCTTATCACTGTCGAAAAAGTGACGACGTCGCTAATTCACATGCAGCATCTAGTAGTGTGCTGGCGCATCCGGGAGAATGGCGTCCAATGCTTTGGCTTCGTCAAGACAGCAACATCACAAAACGCTCCCGTGCGTGTTGTTGACGCTGAATCGTTGCGCATGTTGGGTACCGGTTGAAGCAACTGAAGCGCGGACGCACTCAAAACTGACTCGCAACATTCACTGGTTGGGCGCCATTCTTGCGTAGCACTGCTCTGACCGTGTGCGCTACATGCGACGCACGCCGTAGACATTTTCATGCTGGTGCTGGACTTGCGAACCATTCCCCTCCTTCACCAGAGCCCGTGCACGCTACTGCACCTTTGTACCGAACGTTGTTCGTTCCTTTCACCCGTTCTTCCTTCCGCAGCCTTTCTAGGGCAGACCAAGCAAGATTTACGGGAATATCTTTCCCACTATCATGTGTGCTACACGTTCGTTCGAAACGACTTCAAGCCCAACCCGGAAACCCCTTTCATCAGGGTAAGTCTCTGCCCACCCCCTGCTTCGACCGCTATCATTTGCCGGCCAGGTTTGTGCGTTGGTATTGCCCACACGTAATGCTCCTTGCTTGAAAATGGGGTGTGCAAGGCCGTTCATTGATGAGCCATCTGTGTTTGGTCATCACTGGTGCGGCTTGGATGTGGGAGAGGAGGGGGGTTCGTCGTTTCTTGCGGGAAGATGTATAGGGTTGTCTTTTTGGAAGGCGGGAATTGTTGTGAACATGCTACGGCAGCCGCGCTCGTGGATGCACGTACGGTACATCTATCCACCAATCTAAAAGCAACCCACAGGGGTTTTTGTCAAGGCTATTGGTCTTTGATTTTTGTCATTGCGAGGTTTTGTCGGTATCGTCTGCCGTTCTTTCCTAACCGCACCCCCACCACCCTACCCTCTCATCACACCCGTTGACAGATGCTCCTAAATCAGGCTCCAGCCGGAAGCCGAGTGACCCACGCTAAGGGAAAAGGGGGAGGACCGACAAAGCCTCCCGCTCCGCCCCCCCCGCCCCCGCGCTCCCCGGTGTGAGCGGGCGCCACACCAACTCTCTGTGTGGGCAGGCATGCTGGGGTGGCATCAATGTAAATTATAGCGTACTACTGAATTTGGAAAGTTACTTACTGAATTTGGAAAGTTACTTGGCGTTCAGGACGATGAGATGGCTGGAGGAACTTCTCCGAATTGTAGAGAGTCAAGTTTGACTACAGCAAAGGTCAAGTCTTAAATTTTTGCTGACGCTGCCTGCGGCTCTGCTCCGGCAACTTGAAGAGTCCATTGCTTCAACACGTCGTTAGCGTGAGGCACGATTGGCGGGGGAAAGTTCTGCGACCACTTTTGCCAACAACTGGAGCACGCACGGATGCTTGACAACGTTGTGCCAATCCTTTTTTTGCGGCGATATCAGCAGGGCACATCTCCAAGAGTTCACAAGAATGCAAAAACACACACCCAAGACGACTTTTCTTGGGTGACGCGATGTGGGTGCCCGTCGAAAGGCTAAACGCTCCCTGAATTGCGTGGGAAGAAGAGTCTCGACTGTGGTGGAGCAATGTTTCCGGTGTTCGTTTCCCCCGTTGATTGGTCCTCCTCGGTCGAGATTCTCGATAGCTGGACGGCTCTTTCGTGCTGTGATTACGTGTGAGGTGTGTTGTACTTGTTCCAGATTTTTGGCGGTGACGTCTTCGGCGTGCGACTTGCGTTTGGCTCCTGTGATCGAGCGTCGTTCCTGTATGTAAAGAGAAGCCTGTGTATCCGCGACAATGTGTCTTGTGTGTACCACGTACTGACTTGGTGTCTGTATGTACTTATCGCTTGCTGGCGGACCTCGAGGCAGGACATGCATCTGCGGTATCCTAGTTATCGAATGGTTGCTAGTGATGGATTATTCTCGTCAATCGATGCCTAAGCGCCAATTGCTCAATTGGAGGTATTGCTGCAACATGCGGCGGGTTCGGGGTGTTGCTGTCAACGGCTCTTCCTGTTGTTGATAGTCGAAAAAGGAAAGAACAGCATTTTGCTACGCACCACCGGCATTGATTCCCAGGAGGGGGCATGGAACTCAGTATGACGTTTATGCGGGAGGGACTCTATCAGGTCGAGCTATGCGCGGGAACTGAGATGGACGTCTCTTGCTTTGACCTGGCCGGAGGAAAAGTGCAACGAAAACGTTGTCTAAAACTCCACATCCATGTGCGTCGCCATTTCTGAAAACCGAAAGTAAGTCGATGAAGGCACAGCAAATAGGAGGGAGGTCGGTCGTGGTTTTCTGTTTCCTCGTTTGAACCTACTGAGGGGTGGGAATATTGTATCGTCCTACCCAAAATCCAGGCTCTTGTATCGCCCCCCTTGTGGGGAGAAATAGGCACTCCTTCGCTTCTCCGGTCCGGACATCGAAGGAAGCCGTCCGACCAGCCAACGACCGTGAATCGCCTTTTCGGGTACATTTATGTCATAGAACGTCGGTGTGCCCCGAGATGTTTTACCTGCTGCATCCGAGCTTTCAAAGACTCCCCCCTTTATGCACTTCTACAGCACTCAGCCCACACCCCACTAAGATATTGGAGGAATAAAAACGCATGCATACACTTCGAACGTAAAACCAACCTCAAAGAACAGCCTAGGTAAGTCCCCGTTAGGTTCCGTCCCTCCCGGCGGACAGACAGTTTAGCGCCCGCGCTTGTGGGCTTGGCAGCAAAGAAATTGATATTGCCTCGAAGACTTCAAAACCCAAGAACTGAGCACCATTTGTGAGCTCGGTTAAACCCCTACACTAAACCGATGTAACGGTCATTCGTCGCATAATCTCGAGGAAGCGTCGGCAAAAACTATACCAGTAGGTTCTTAGGTTCGAAGAGATATTGCCGTGCGGAAGCCGTCGCCATTCCTACTGCTCTAGATAAGAGCAAGAGGTTTCGATTTGCGTTCGCCGTGTGCCTTCGATTCGCCAGTTGATGCTTGCGCAGGAGCTGGTCCCACTGCTGTACGTTGAATGCCCATGTATCATATCCTTCAAGATATTGACGTCATTCCCCATACCTACGATACAACCCCTACATGTTTATACAGGCGGGACACATGCAAACAGCTTCTCCTTGGGTATGCAGCACGCCACTACGGTACAACCCCTACACCAACACCAACAACGCAAAGCATACATATACAGAGAGAATGCATGGGGCACCAGAGTTGGACCCCGGCCAGGATACGCACGCTGCTTCTCCCAACAGTGCCTACGCCATGAGACGTTTGGAATCGTATCCCTCCTCTCGGTGGTCGCAAATCGGGGAACTTGTGCGATCGGCGCTCGAGGCGGCACCCCTGTTGGTCAAGGCATGTGGAGGGCACGGGACAACACAGGGCGGCGCAAAGCATGTCGACGAGAGATTGCTTTCCAGCTGTCATGCCGGAGTGTAGTGCTTCGTTTTCTTGCGACCACCCATCAGGTCGAGTTTTTCCAGGTGCCTTGGGTGTTTCTTGATCCCTGCCAAGCTCTCAGCAAGCTGGCAAACAAGCTCAACTCTTCTTACGGGCAGGACCAACAAACGCTCGAGCACGTCAAGGACCGCCGTACAAGACACCGTCTCTAAAGTGTCATGTGTAAACAAGCATTCGTCGTCGGCGGACGTCGGGGGTTTCGACCGTATTTAATGTCATCTCTTCATCCCCCTCGTTCTCTTTTTCTCGTGCGGTAAACAGCAAGCCTTGTACGGGTAACCGGAACCCGAACGAATGGGCGCGAGTTGATGCGATTCCTCACAACCTCCTGAGCGTGTTTTGGGGTCCCCCACCACTCTCAGGGTGAAAGGCGGAATCGAACACGGGTCTCCGGCCACCAAAATCAGACTCGTCTTTGTCCTCGACCGATGTTAAGGAGAATCGCAACTTGTCAAAGGTCATCTCCACAGAGCGTGGACCAACAACGGTATATGCATTAGGAGTATCGGTAATATATTGTGCTCGACGTCCACTGCCTTCCCTAGCTTTTCTGCAGCTGGAGCGATACAGTTAGGGGTGCCAATCGGGGCGATTTTGGCAGCAAAAAAGTGACCGGTCTATTCGAGGATTTTGAGAAAAAAAGGGGGGCACGCGGATTTTTGGTTCTCAACTCAGCTCTTGAAAATCATACGATTAAAGTATGCTCGTTCTTCCGAAATTTCGTTCAAGTGGCTTTGCGTCCAGGCAGCGGCGCGGCTCTTCATACTTTACACACATCTGGACACAGGTCCTACAGAGGTGACTGTGGATTCGCTTTTTTCGGAAGTTCAAAAGGTCGGAGAGAACCGCTTGAAAAACATACATTTTTCAGATGAACGCCCCAGTGCCCGACGCTGTGGTGCGTAAGTCGAAAAAGCAAATCCGCAGCGCACCTCCTTGGGTTTTGGGCCACCCCACACAAAAGACCGATCGGGAATCGCATCTACCAAGAACGAGTACCACTTGACAGAAAGTGGCCCCTCTACCTGACTTTTTGCCCGCCAGCGGCCCCTCGCTCAAAAAAAAAATCTCCGTGATCAGCCGTTACGTTTTCAGAAAAGCTCAAGGAGCGCGAGCGTGTGATGTCCCAACGCCACCACCGCAGCACTCGAGGCTAGCCAGTTGTCTCAAGCGTGGTCGGCAGGCGCTAGTTGCATCTATAGCTGGCCCTGAGGCTTGTACACCGTTGCTCGAAAGGAGGATGTGTGACGGAAAAACCCTCCAGCGGCAGTTTTTCAACCGATTTTTGGGTCTGGGAGGGAGGGAGCATTTGTTTTGGGAGGAGGTAAGGCCCACCATTGCGCATCCAAACGAACTCTAAAGACACCGAACAAGCATGCCATCCGCTCTCGGCGCGAGGATGAGTTAGGTTCCGCTAGGATGCGCGGTGAAAGCAAGTCCTGGTGCGTAGGAGAGAGCACGGGGCAAAGCAGGGCAAAAAAAAAACCCGAGGGACTTCGGAAATGCACACACACGCACAGGATCTGACGTGCAGGCTAAACACAGCTCGCGAAACATGCTAGTGCCGAGCAACTGGCTAGATCTTCGTCGTGGGTTGGGTTCTCGGCCAACATGTTGCTGTTTGTCTTTGTTTTGTTGATCGCGCGGGCTGCATAGCTCATAGCTCGCTCCCCCCTTTCAAACAAGGAACCGGTCTGATGAAGTGTGATTGGTTTATGTGGTTCTCTGAGAACTTCCA